TTCTTGTCTTTAACGAACCACCTCATTTGTATGGGGATCAGTCGATAAAACTGTTCCATACAAACTAAATGCCTTAACTCTTCAAACATGGTTGTTTTACTTCCTTCAAGCCATCTCTCTAAGGCTTTTTCCACTCGGCTTCCCAATTGTGAAAAGGTTTCTCCTGGCTTTCTTTTGATCTCCCTGAACATTTTTCTACTTTGTTCAGGTGTCAAGCCAAACCTCAGCTTCACCCTTTCTTTAAATATGAGGTAACTCGCACTCTCTGTCTCTCGCAGATCAGCGTAAACCTCACTAAGTTCCCCACAAAGTAGTGGTCTCAGGTACACCATCATTTTGGCTTCAGGTACCTCGAAATCGTGGCAAGCCCGTTCAAAGCTAGCCAGAAATGACTCCACGCAGTCCCCTTTTACATAACGAGGAAAGTTCTTTAACACCCTTTGCATGTTAGAGTCCTGCTGTTGGCTTAAGTTAGGAGTTCTCTCTCTTTCCCTTAATTGTAGTTCTGCCATTCTCTCCTCATGTTTTAACCGTTCACTTTCTCTTTCTATCTCCGCTTGTATTCTTTCCCTCTCCATCTCAGCCATTCTTTCTCTCTGCCTCTCTTCAGCTTGCATTCTTTCCTTCTCCATCAGCATCTTTTCTCTTTCCCTTTCAGCCTGAAACTCAAGTTCTTTCAACCTCATTTCTAGCCTAAGCTTTTCAATTGACAAAGAGGTAGCTATCTGTTCTTGTCTACTCTCTTGTCCTTGGGTCTCAGCTTCTTCAACTACAGAAGCAGTTGTCTCCCCTTCTCTTTCTGGTTCTTCAGAAGTACCCTTCTTTGTTTTTGGTGGTGCCATGGTGCCTAATGTGTGTTAAAATGGCGCTAGAGGTGTCCTGTCTCTGAGGTAATTCTAAGTGTCACGTTTTGACAAAAATTTACCTCAGGATTCTCACAAAAATGCTCTGGATTGAGATGTTACACGATCCCACACCGCTGCAAACCAATTATAAAGGCATGCAGATGGCAATACGATCAATCCTACCATCTGACACCAAATTATAAAGGCACGTCGTGTGGCCAAACAATATAACTGGACAGGGGGCAAACAGATCCCACCACCTGTCCCTCCAATATAAAGGATTTACACCACTGGCACCTATATAACTGTTATGAGGGAATGTCTCTCTATTTAAACTTTCGCTGCCACCATAAACTGAGTTGTACAGGAACACCCTAGCTATTTTTGAAAATATTAAAATTACTTCTTGGACCACCAAGTACTGTGTCTTTTAAATGGCT